GGTCCATGCTCAACCACTGAGACACACTGGCTGGGTTATGGCTTTATTTTTAAAATCATTGTAAGTTATCTGGCTGTAAATGATACCAAACTCAGGTAGTGTCTCTCCACAATTTTCCCTTTATGGTACTGGAAGAAGAGAGTGGGGAGTGGGGAATGAGGTCCAAAGGAGAAGGGAAGTCTATGTCACTGCACTGAAATGAAGAAATATCAAGGTATTTGGGCTGATCCAGGAGGCTTCACAGGATTCTGGGCTTTTGGCTGGGCTGGAAGGGTTTTAGAGAGGTGAAGAAAGAATATTGTATCAAAAGATATACAGATTTTCAGAAGAGGGAAATAGTATGTTATGATCAGGTAAGAAATCTGACTTTTCTGAGATAAATGGGACACTGTACTTCCATATTTCTTAAGTGATAAGGTTTTCCTTGTAATGAGCATCCTTCATATAAAGATTTGAAAACCAGAATTAATATTCTTACAAAGAGAAAATGCTAAATTGCTAATATATTTTCTATGGTTAGTCTTTGTGATATGATGCCTCTAATAATATCAACATTGTTTATGATATTGGATGACTAATACAAACTGGTTTATAAAAGTCAGAAGAAAATCATAAATGTTTCAGCAGATGAAACGGTGATCAGTAGATGAAGAGTGTGATCATTAGAACACTGTTTGCAATAGCACAATTTGGAAACAATCTTCTTGTCCAATAATAAGTGACTGATTTTTCACACAAAAAGAAACTATGCAGTAATTAAAAATAATGCTGTTAAAAATGGATTTATTGGCATGGGAAAATATGTTAATTAGAAAATTCTGGCTAAAAAACAAGACCCAAATGTGATCTAGTTTTTTATTTTTAAACATGTCCCTGTCTCCCTCCATATCGCACATTCTACTCCCCCAACTTTTCAATATAAAAGTATCTGGAAAGATATACAATGGGAAAGGGTCTGGTGGCACTGATTCATCTTCATATAAGGAATTTTGCATATTTCAAAATTGGTTTCTTTTAGCTTTTCTGTATTTCCTGATTTTCCTATAATGAACATGAATTGCTCTAACAATTTAAAACATAATTTTACAGGAAAAAAGAGAGATCAGTTTAAAAAAGATTGAGTCAAGGATACCTGGGGTACACCTCTGAGGTCAACATCACACAGGACTGTCACCGTTTTCCCACAAAATATAGTTTGGAGCCACTGTCAGAATTTAGTGCTAGCTAGATTGCATATTAGCCTGACTCAGCATAGCATTTCTTTTTGCTCTTATGCGAATGCTTAAAAGCTTGAAACTCTGCACTCTATTCAATCCATTTCATCAAATATTTATTAAGCACCTACTACGTGCCAAGCAATTAGGATGCGAGATTAACAAAACAAAGTTCTGCTGCAATTTAAGTCAATAAGTGCCCTTATAGAAATCTGTACTTCTTTGAAAGTTCCAGATGGTTGTTCTGATATTTTTTAGAGGGGGAAAAAAAAACCCCAACAAAAAGCAAAACCTAAGCAGTGCTCATACAAAACAGTGGCCAAGACAGTTCGTACTAAAAATAATCTATTCATGTTTTCACTTTGCTAATACTTTAAACTAAGTGTATAACTATGCTAAGTCTTAATAAAAAAAAAATACCACATATTTGTGGCTCTTCACTATGATACCAGCACTATTCTCCTTTTGAATCAATAGCCATTCAACTCTTTTAGTAGAAATTATTTCAGTCTGTTTAGTCTTAGAGCCAAATCTCTCAGTTTGACTTTGAGATGCTGACTGGAGTCTCCAGTTCCCACAGGAAATAAAATTGTTTTTAAAGGTTAAATAAGGCAATACGTTTCAAACTAAAGTTGCTAAGCCCGGGTAACCAACAATTAGACAACTAACATGCTAAAAATGTTTAAAGTTGGACTTAATGAATCTGAACAATTTTACTTGTTACATGTATATTACAATTATTTTTTATGAATTGAAATTTCTATCTCAATTAAGTAATATATGTTTTCGTCTTTGTTTTCAATTACATATTGTTCCTACATGTCCAGAAGAGGTTTTTGTTTTGTTTTGCCTGAACATCCTCTTATCATGGAGTTTACATGAATTAGAGTGTAAAGGAACAGAAAGATAGATCACCTTGTACCACTATTTTGTTTTGTGGAAGAAAAAAATTTTTTTTTTTTAAATATATTTTATTGATTTTTTACAGAGAGGAAGGGAGAGAGATAGAGAGTTAGAAACATCGATGAGAGAGAAACATCGATCAGCTGCCTCTTGCACATCTCCTACTGGGGATGTGCCCGCAACCCAGGTACATGCCCTTGACCGGAATCGAACCCGGGACCCTTCAGTACGCAGGCCGACACTCTATCCACTGAGCCAAACCGGTTTTGGCGTGGAAGAAAAAGTTTAAGCCCAGAAGTAAAGTAACTTGTAGGAGTGTAAGTTGCTTTGCATAGAGCCTTATGAAACACATAATTGGTAGTTATTGTTATGAGAAGCTTGTCCCTCAGATTCCTAGTCCATTATCCTTACTTGCCCTGGATTATCTTTCCATAATGTTTGGTTAAACCAGTGGTTCTCAACCTGTGGATCGCGACCCTTTGGGGGGGTCGAACGACCCTTTCATAGGGGTCGCCTAAGACCATCAGAAAACACATATATAATTACATATTGTTTTTGTAATTAATCACTATGCTTTAATTATGTTCAATTTGTAACAGTGAAATTGGGGGTCACCACAACATGAGGAACTGTATTAAAGGGTTGTGGCATTAGGAAGGTTGAGAACCACTGGGTTAAACCATTCTTTGGTCTTCTACTCTGCTCAAGAAAGTATGCATGTTAACTTTTTCATGGAATTTAATGGATTAATTTATCCAGTTAAATATTTATTGAGCATCTACTAAGGGCCAGATACTGGTCTTGGCATTAATTTAAATGTTAATAGAAATTATTAAACAGTGACTATTATTTCAAATCCATATAAATGAACATTATTTTGACTAATCTTGGAGAGAGAGAGAGAGAGAGAGAGAGAGAGAGAATTTGTCTCTCTTCTTTCCTAAAATCTGCTCAATTTTCAGTTTTAATTGCCATATGTGCCAAACATGTAGCATCAAAATAAGTTTGTTTGAGGAGCATGGCTACACTAAGGCTCCTAGGTTTTATTTTATGAAATGCTAATTTCCCCTTTATAAAACAAATTCTATATATTTTTTTAATTTGAATAGTATGATACTTTTAAAAACTCTTCCTCTGATTAGATTTAGGGTAAACATTTCAGCATAATAACCTCTCCCCCCGCCCCCCACCAGCCTGCAGTATTTTCATTTTATTGTTAAGAAAACTGTCATTAATTTTAAGATTACTTTCAGAATGAAATGAAATAGTACATGTAATGCTGTTAGATATGCCAGACTCAGAAATATTGCTTCCTTGTTTAAATTATCTGTCTCCATTGTTAAACTGACAATCAATTTTTAGTAACTTCTGATTTTTACAGTTTATTTGTTCTTTTTCACTCTTCATGCAGCATTTTGGGTGTACTTACTTGTTCTCTCTTTTTATAGCACTGTCCTAGCTTCTCTTTTCCATTATTATTTGACTTTATTAGTCTTGCTGTCAATGCATCTCTGTCCTTGGATTCCAGATTGCTATTCTATATCCATCTGCTATCTGTAAAAACTGTTTATCTTTGCTTGGTGGGACATCACAACTCTGATAAATCTTTGGTTCCTGCCTCATTTAGGGATGGATGGTCCAAGGTAAGAGACACACAATTTTTGGATATACTAGTACATTTAGGATTTTTCTCAAATTTCCCAAAGACTAACACTCTCAACTCTATTTTGAGGCAAACAGCAAATCAAAATTCAGAACCTAAAAAAAAAAAAAAAAAAAAAAAAGATGCATGTGTGTGTGTGCGGGTGGGGTAGGGGGAAGAGACTTGGGTAGTCAGTGTGACTAGCTGTGGACCTAAAGACAAATATTATCAAGTTGGTATGATCATAAATACATAAGTAGTTCCCGAAGAGGACTCTTTTGGGGGGAAGAGAGAGAGAGAGCTTAAAAATTGCTTGTAGGTACTGCTATTAAAAGGTCACAATACAAAGTTTCCTTGATGGTGACAAAGTAACCATAATATACAAAACAAACAACTAACTGAAGTTTTAAATCTAATTCATAGGTGTGGTATAAAATAGCACCGTGGATGCTAAAATCAATGTCAGATTAGGCAAGTTCTAAAGCTACACCTGTTGATACTATACTAACCGGTATTTCAAAACCTTATTCTTAGGTCATGCATAACACGAACCTACCAATAAAAAAGAACCATAAAAGTATGTGTCAGAATGCCAGGGGGAAGGCCACAGCTAAACTTCATAGAAAAACTTGTCACCTTATATCTACTAGTAAGCATGTCACTAAAATGTTTACAGCTATTTTTTCTATTTCCATTCCTATATATATGGAAGATACAGTCAAATAAATGAGTGAGTTCATAGGATGGTGTAAAGGTCGCGCTAAGTCCTGGTTTCGGGCATGTCAATGTTTGTCACAACAGCATAAGGGAGGCTGAAACAGAAAGTTATAAAAACCATAAAGGGGAAAAAAAAAATACCGTTGACAATTATTTATTTATTTTTGCTTAAAAACAACAGCAGAACCCACCCTCTGCCTGGAGCCTGCATTCCCCCCTGCCCCATACTGTAGATGTGGAGCTTCTCAGCAAACCTACAGCAGACGCAAGCCCTCTCCAGGAAACCACAGTCTCTCTCCAAACAAGGAAGGCGCGTTTCTCTCTATTGTCGCTGCTTTTCTCTCGCCTCTGGGAATCGGTCTGTGTTTCGGTAGCCATCCAGGGCGGGGTGGTGCGCCCCAAATTAGCGAGGCTCTGCCAAATACCAGAGGCTCCTCTTTGGAAGAGGAAGGCTCCTCCTTTGGACGTGAGGCGCCCCGACCGGAGCGCGCTCTTGCAGAAACGGAAACCACTAGCTGCGCCGAAGTGAGTCAAGTGATGAAATCAAGCCGACTTGGGGAGGAAGCGCCGACAGCTCGCGAAGCCCGCGGGTGACAGAGCTGCGGAACCTGCTCGAGGGAGCCGTGCCAGGCCCCCGTGGCCGCCCGGTCATGAGGTGGCCCCCGGAGGCACCGGCCCCCCCAGCCTCCGGGCAGCGAACCCCTTCGTGTGGGCGAACCCAGGAGGAAGGCACGAAGCGCGGAGGACCCATCTAGACCTCCCGCCCGCGTCCCCGAGGACGCAGACGGTGCCCTGGTTCCGAGGTGACCCCGGCCCCCAGGTCAGTGCGGGGCTCCTCCGGGGCGGACGGGCTGAGCACGCCCCTCGCGGAGACCCCGCCTCGCCCACCGCGGGGACCGGACCGCACGGCGGCCGCTCCGCCGGGGCCGCGCCCCCGCCCCGCGCGCTCGGGTCCTCACCTGGCGCGCAGGTAGGGCCGGGGCGGGGCGGGCGGCCGGCGCGCAGGCGCGGGACGGGGGCCTCGCCCCTGCCGACGTCGCCGGCTGGAGCTCACCTGGGAGACTCCGGAGGAAGCGGAGCCGGGGTTCGGCCTCTCCTGGCAACGCTGGAGGCCCCGCGGGAAGGCAGGAGGCGGTGGCGGAGGAGGAGCCGGGCTGAGAGGCAACTGTAGCGACAGCCACCGGAGCCGCCGCCGCCGCCACCTGCACCTGGCGCCCGGCCCACGTCCAGCGCCCGCCGGCGCCGCTTCCCGCCGCCCGGTCCTGCCCACCCTCCAGGTAAGACGGGGAGCCGGCGCCCGAGCCGGGGGGGCCGGGGGCTCCCAGCTGGAGCCGGACCAGGAGTGGTCGACGGCTGCGGGGGTCCGAGATGGGGAGAGGGTTCGGTCCCCGTGGCCGGTTGGAGATGGTCTCGAGGGCAGCTTTCAGTTGCCCTCTTGGGAGAGGCCGGCAGGGGCGCCCGAGGCGGGGGTAGGTGGCTCCCCGGGGTGGCCCTGTCACCCGCGCTGACCCCCGTCGGGCTCCCTGGGGGGCTCCGGGAGCCGGACCCGGGCTCAAGCCCTGGTGGCCCGCGCTTGTCCCCGGGAGGGTCGCAGCGTGGGGAGCCGGCGGGGCCGGGCCGGGCGCGAGGAGGCCGTCTCCACTCGGGCGAACAGGTTGCCAGTCTCCGCCGCCCCCGTGGCCGCGGTGGCCAAGCCCGGGACGCGGGAGGGCAGGACTTGGCCGGGCAGCCTTCCCGGCCGGACCCCAGACAGTCCTGCGCTGCAAACCGCGGCCGCCCGAGCCATTTCCACGGTTTCCGAGTGGTTTGGAAGGCGCGCTGTGGTCGGGACGCGGACATCCCCCGCCCCCCTCTCCTCTCTCTCTCTTTCTCGCTCTCTCTGTTTCGTCTCTACACTTTTCCGGGTGCGCTCCCTAAGCCAGAGCTGCGCCCACTTTCCGGTTTGATCAAAAAGAGTTATTTTCTTCGTGGCAGGAGAAACCCAGCTGCCAGTCACCAACCGCACACCCCCTCGTTAAAGGACCTGTTGACTTAACGACCTGCATATCGCAGCTCTGGTTTGCCTGTGGTATATGACTCAAAGGTTCAAAAAAACTTGGTTTCAGGATCCTGCCACGTCTGAACCTGGGTGTGCCAGGCCCAAATTCCTTTCCTGGGTTAATTAGGCTTTTCTGAAGCCTAAGAATTGAGGGTGAAACTGGTGCTTACATTAGACTTTTATTTCCTTCTCTCTCAGACTCATCAAAGCACTTCCTTCTCTTAAAACTCATCAAAACACTTCACTTCAAACTCATCAAATAACTGTTTCTGTTTTTAGAACCCCTATTTAGTTACCAATTTTTCTGATTTCCAGACAATGTGAAGCTAGCATAACTTGATAGAGAAGTGATACTACATAATGGAAATATTTAAGTCAAATTCTATTGTAAAAAATTAATCAGAAAGTTGCTGTACTTTCATTTGAGAATTTCTGGTTTTGGGAAAAATCTGTTACTGCTTTCACTGTATAAATTTTCCTTCGAGTTTGTGGCTGAAATGCATGAGGTTTAAGTCATAACCTACAATTAGATTTCTTTAAATTTAACTTTTAATATTTGAAGTTTAGTGTACATATGTGTTAAACTTCCTGTACAGTTTAGTACCAAGCATCGTTTTTTTTATATTGCTTTAAACAGCATTTTTACATAGAAATTTCTAATAATAAATGGCAATTCCACTACCTAGGTTTGTTTTAGTTCTCTTTGCTAATTAAATTATACACACATACACACACACACACACACACACACACACACACTAGAGGCCCAGTGCACAAATTCATGCATCAGTGAGTTCCCTCAGCCTGGCCTGCGGGATCAGACCAAAACTGGCTCTCTGACATCCCCTGAGGGGTCCCGGATTGCACCATGGGGCTGGGGAGGGACCTCGGGAGGGCTACAGGGTATGTCCGGCCTGTCTCACTCAGTCCCGATCTGCCAGACCCCAGCAGCAAGTTAACTTACCAGTCGAAGCGTCTGCCCCCTGGTGGTCAGTGCACATCATCGCGAGCAGTTGAGTGATCTTAGCATATCATTAGCATATTACACTTTGATTGGTTGAATGGATGACTGGACGACTGGACACTTAGCATATTAGGCTTTTATTATCTAGGATATTTAAGTTGCACATTTAACATAAAATCCCCTAGGCAACACATAGTGTTAAAAAAAAAAAGGCAGTGCAATTAAAAGCTAAAACATCAACCCAGCATGAAAGGACACAACTGGATATTTTTCAACCATTACTCTCTGCTTTTCTCAAAAGAGCCTTGCCTGCCCGCTTAATCTTGTCTTCATATAGAGAAATAAATTTGCTAAATACTGTTTAAAAATTAGAGGTAGATGTTGCTCCCTGAATTTACTAGCAGAGCATTAATTTAATCCTCATTGATTATTGGGCCAGATGCTATTAGAGCATCTTTACTTTTAACTCCAGGGAAAAATGCAACATGTTTACATTAGCTATGGTAACAGTGTGCCTCAGTTAAACTGTTTGTAAAATTGGAAAAATAATACTTCCTTAGATTGAGATATTGAAGCCATAAAACAAATCAGGACTATCCTCTGGTCTTAACATTCTCAGGGTCTCCTTCTCACCTGGAGATGCAGTCAATCCATCCAGTTTATGAAAAACTGAAGCCTAGAGAGGTAGTTTAATTTCAGTTCTACCAGCAAGTTAGTGGTAGGCATGGTGTTATTATTCCAGTGGCTTGACTCAAAGCTCATGTTATCTTCGTTTTTTACCACCCAGGCTCTCACTTATCATTAGATGTTTGTCCTTTTGTCTCTCAGATAGTTCGTAAGGTCTTTGTAATTGACAGGATAGTCAATTGCTCTGTCCAGCCCTGGTTTACCCAAATTTCTACTTGTCCAGGTGATACTTGACTGCAGGGAGACTGAGGCCATCATTCTTTTCCACTTACTGTGAATCACATGTGTATCAAAGATGCCATGTGGATTGAGATTTGAAACCCTTTCTTGGTTTTTCAGAGCCACAGTTAATTTTTTGAGTCAACACAGACAACAAAATTCAGTCCTCTGATCTTTTATTGTATTGGCTTAGAATATATTTTTTGAGGCAGCTACCCAGGGTCTTTCCTCTACTGGCAACACTCAAGATTTTTGGTTGGTAAGTCTACTTCCTCAACACCAATATTTTTTAAACTTTTTTGGGGGGCTGTGATCCTCACTAAGAGATACATCTGTGCTTCAATGCACTACACTCGATTGTGTGTGTATATATAAATGAAACAAGGTTCTCAAAACAATACTTAACCTTACAACATGGATGTTCTCTTATTTTATTTTTAAGATGTTGGTCTAAACACACTGTATTGATTTTATGACCACAAATGGGCTGGAACCTAAAATGAAAATGATGGTATCCCATATTGAATTTAAATTTTTTAAGGCTGAGTTTTCTACAAGCTTATTGACTCTGTCTCTGTCTCCCCCCTCCCTCCTTATTTCTCTGCCTCTTCCCTACATACTTGCAAGAAAGAAAAATCAAACTGCACTTTAATCTATATATATAAAAGCCTAAGTGATTGAATGACCGAAAAACCAAACCACCAGTTAACCGGTCGCTATGACACGCATTGACCACCAAGGGGCAGATGCTCAATGTAGGAGCTTCCCCCTGGTGGTCAGTGTGCTCCCACAGCCAACCTTCTGTGGCCCCTCCCCCCACCAGCCACCCTCCCATGCCTCGATCGGCCCGATCGCCAGCCAGGCCAAGGGACCCACCTGTGCACAAATTCGTGTACCAGGCCTCTAGTATCCTATATAATAAAGAGCTAATATGCTAATTAGACTGGACAGTGTAATGACCTTCTGGAACGACCAGTGGGCGGGGTGTGGGGCTGTGAGGCGGGGCCGCGAGGGCAGAGTCCCTTGCATGAATTTTGTGCATTGGGCCTCTACTATATATATATTGGTTCGTGCACCAGGCCTCTAGTGTCTATGTATAGATAGATAGATAGATAGATAGATAGATAGATAGATAGATAGATATTGATTTCAGAGAGGAAGGGAGAGGGACATAGAAACATCAATGATGAGAGAGAATTATTCATCAGCCTCTTGCATGCATGCTACTGGGGACAGAGCCTGTAACTCAGGCATGTGCCCTGTCTAGGATTGAACCATGACCTTCTGGTTCATGCATTGACACTCAACCACTGAGCCACACTGGCTGGGCTCAAACTGTTCTTTTTAATATAGAAAATTATACTGCAATCTTTATTAAGTATTCATTCAAAGGTTTGAGATTCTAAAACCTGGAGCTAGACTAAATCAAACATTGAGAACTGCATAAAACCTCATTGTACATTATTGTCTTTTAAATGGTTTACTTTGGTAGGATTTAAAAAAATATTTATTGATTTGAGAGAGAGCAAGGGAGAGAGAGAGAGAGAGAGAGACTTATGGTTCCACTTAATTATGTATTCATTAGATGATTCTTAAATGTGACCTGACCAGGGATCAAACCTGCAACTTTGGCATATCAGGACAATGCTCTATCCCAGTGGTTCTCAACCTTCCTAATGCCGCGACCCTTTAATACAGTTCCTCATGTTGTGGTGACCCCCAACCATAAAATTATTTTCGTTGCTACTTCATAACTGTAATTTTGCTACTGTTATGAATCATAATGTAAATATCTGATATGCAGGATGTATTTTCATTGTTACAAATTGAACATAATTAAAGCATAGTGATTAATCACAAAAACAATATGTAATTATATATGTGTTTTCCGATGGTCTTAGGCGACCCCTGT